AACGACAATGATACTTGTAAAACCCAAAAATTTGTGGAATAAATAATTTATCTTTATTAGTATTTTATTTTAAGAATATATATATATATATATTAAATAAAAATAGAAGGTTGAAATAAGTCTAAAAGTCGGACCAAAAGTGAAGGAAGAAGTCAAGACATGGGTGAAAGTTGTCAATTCGCTGAAGTTAAGGGACTGGGTTGTGTGTACGCAGGTCCAAACCAGAAGGACCTGTTTTGTAAATAGGCAACAGACCTGCAACAGGGTGGGCTGCTATCAACGATCGAGAGAGGCAGAAAAAGAGCAGGCGGTGCCTGGTTCAAAAAGGGAAATTGTGACCTGCCGATTGCAGGCTGTGGAGAAGCCGTTCACAGCCTAAAACTAGGGATTCGGCCGATTTGGTCAACTAATAGGCCAAATCATTTGAGTATAAATTATGGGCACTAGTTAGGGTCGCTATTCATTTGAAAAGAAGAAAGAAATCGTTGAGCTTGAGAGAGAGAAACCGGAGTTCAAGACCAGGCAAGAACCCCCTTGCTTTCCCGCCATTTAGAGGTAAATACTCAACCAAAATTTTATGTTGTTACAACGTTTGGCTGTGTCTTTGGCCCTGTATAGAACTCTAGAAGGCTCATGTTCTAAACTTTGTGTTTTAGGATTCGATTTAAAGTTTAGATTTCATTTGGTGAATATGCTGTATCGCGTTCTGTTTAGAAACCACTTTAAAGAAGGTTATACAGAAGCTCTGCATGAGAGCTCTGTATCAAGTTATATGGTACAGAAGCTCTACATGGGAGCTTTGTATCAAGTTATAGTAGCCAGAAGCTCTACATGAGAGCTCTGTATCAAGTTGTGCTAGATAGAAGCTCTGGAAGAAACCACAGAGGGGCTCTGGCCCTTGATGGAATATTTCTTATAAGATTAGGAACCAGAGGCTCTGGTCGACCAGAAGCTCTGGAAGAGAGACCAGAGGGGCTCTGGCCTGTGAATTATTTTCCAAGTATGGTTGGAACCAGAGGCTCTGGTCGTGAAAGACCAGAAGCTCTGGAAGAGAGACCAGAGGGGCTCTGGTCCTGCATTGAAATATTTTCTAAGTATGGCTAAGAACCAGAGGCTCTGGTCATGAAGACCAGAAGCTCTGGAAGAGAGACCAGAAGGGCTCTGGTCCTGAATGGCAAATATTTTCTAAGTGTGATTTAGAACTAGAGGATCGACGGACGGGTTACTAAATATTTTCTAAGTGTGGTATACAACCAGAGGGGCTCTGGTCCTGAAGGACTTAAGAGCCCAGAGGCTCTATCAATACCACCAGAGGCTCTGGCCTTCTTCCAGACTTAGTCATTTTAARRTATATARCYAGACAATACACCTTATGTTGGAACTCACGTTTCTATAATTTTGATTGATGTGAGGAGCATTTAAGCATAGTTGACCAAGGTTGACCCTAGCCAACATAGTTGACCGTAAGTTGACTTTTATGTAGCCTTTGGGAGAAATTAATCATTTATATGCTATTTGCTATTATAAATTGTAGGTTACCAGTCAGCAGCGTCAGATAAGCAATCTACGTTATCAGGTGAGTCTTCATGAGATTTCACTGAGATGCATACCTAAGTACAAATTATTTTTACATAATATGAATTTCTGATGATGTGTACGTATGCATGATGTTTCAGTTTACGTGCATGTTATGATATATTTTACATGCATGCTATTTTATGAATGGTTACGTGCTACGTGTTTAATCAGTTTTCAAATAACTCTAGCATGCTAATCCATACTAAAAGTTTGATGATTTAAGGGTGGGCATTTGACCAGTAAGTCACGACTAGTATAAAACATTACCCGGACAAGTGGGTGACCAGTTAAGATTGAAATATCTAACCCAGGGTGTGTTTGTGACTAAATGACCCATACCCGGTTAAACGTTATACGAGATCTCGTATGTTCAGTATCTTACAGATATATATTTCCTTCGGTATTGCATGTTTTTCAGAAAATGCATACTATTTGGCACAAAGTTTACAAGTTGTTATGTATGGTGTGAAATGATCTTTACTCAYGCAAACCATGAACTCACTGAGCTTTACAAGCTGACTATAGTATRCATCTCAGGGCCAGGAAGTTCGAAGTCGGATAAGGGCAAGGGACTCGCGTAGAGAGTTACTAGATTGTTATCTTATCTTTAGTTTTTGCCTAGCAGCATTGTACTAATCTATTGTAACTTAACCTGGTATGAAGCGGGTTAGAGCTTAAGTTAATTTTGGGATTCAAAGACTTCCACTGTAAACGATTAGAACGGTGATATTTTAGCCGTCTTTTGGACTATGTATTCAGGAATGGATTCAGGTTACGTGACATTCTAAAAAAAATGAGGGTGTTACAAGTTGGTATCAAAGCTTTAGTTTAAGGTAATTAGGCTAAAACTTGCTTAGCTTAAGCTTAAA